CGAGTGGACACTCCTTGCAGCTGGCTGGATATTACTGAGTAAGGTAAGGATCCTATAGAATAAAGTAAGAGTAAAAGCAAAAGAGATACCAGAGTAAAAGAGATATCGGAGTAGAAGAAAGAGATACCAGAGTAAGGAGATATCAGAGTAAAATAAGGAGACATTAGAACAAGAAAAGGAGTGAATTCTATTATTATTGGGTATAAAACACGGGGATACGATTGTCTAAAAAAATAAAAATATATGTTCAAATGTTGTCTTATATGTTAAAAGCTAGGGGTGATAAAGTTAGCATCAAGCAGTTACATCAGTTCCTGATTTTTGTACAGGAAACAAGCCCTTGGTTCCCAGAACAAGGAACAGTTTATGAGGAAACTTGGGACAGGGTTGGAGAACAGATCAGGAAACAATATACAACAGAGGGTCCTAGCAAGATTCCCATCTTTGCTTTCTCCCTGTGGAATTTAATTAAGGAGTGCTTAAAACAAAACCTTCCAGAAAAAACCAGAGTTGGTTCAGTAACTCCACCAAATAACACTCTGGAGGGTTATGCCTCCCTCTTACCTAAGATATCAGAATCTGTAACTAAAGAGAATACCGAGGTAATATCTGGTAAAGAAAATGACAGTCTTTTAAAGTTAGACAGACTTAAGATTGCAGATTCTGAAGCGGTTGCAGGGCGGGGGGGAGAACAGAGCTGCTGCCCTTAGGCCTAGTGCTCCCTGACTTTGGCCCACAGCTTCCCAGTCAAAACCTACTTGCATATCAAATGGCGCTAGGGCAGAAAGGACAACTCCCACTTTAACACCCCTCCAGAAAGCTTTGCATTGCACAGCAGACAGAGGCGAGTATACATTGGGATTTAAATTGTGCCCTGTTATAGAGACTCCTGATCCTGACAATCCAGAACAAAATCAAGGTCAGCATGAGCCAATATCATTTAACACTCTAAAAGAATTGAAAACGGCTTGTACACAATATGATCCGGTGGCACCTTATACAATTGCGGTGTTACAGACAGCTACGCAATCTGCGTTTACCCCTAGTGATCCAGCAAGTGCTAGGCAAGGCATGTTTATCGGGAGGAGATTACATCAAAATTTTATTTCCCGCTTGTCACAGGCCATATAGTGAATGGTCTCTGATTAAGAGGCAAGACAAATTTTGTTAATTGGCCTTTAAAAATGCTAATACCTTTTGTAAAGCAGCTATTGCTCCAAAAAAGAAACGGGGAACAGTAAATGATTATATTTTAGACTTGAATAAAATTTCCTATAATGCAATAGTAACCTTTGCTTCAAGAGAAGCGAACAGAAAAACTGAACATTACAAAGTTTAGATTTTGAAAGCTACAGGTAATATGTTGAAAAGTAGAGTGACACTGGCCAGGGAATCAGGCAAGACTCTGCAGTCTTATGTTTAACATGTCAATGATCAGATTGGCAAGGGAGGGCTTAACTACATGTCTTTTTAAAGACTATTTAGTAAAACAGTTTGGCTAGACTGTAAGGTTTGAAAGATGAGTTTAGAAAATAGATTTTAAAAGCAATATTCTATTTTGCCCTTAACAGTATAACACATTTGAATCCACAAAGAACCCATTTGTTACTTTAAAACATTTTGGCATACTGTCTTGTGTTAATGTACCTTATATCTTGGGAACTGCGAGTTGCTCTCCTCGGAAATGCATACCCAGGGATAGTCAGGTAGGAGTCCAATCGGGAAGCCCACACATTACACATTACATTGTTACCCATAACTCAATCAGCAATGGAGACTTTGCTAATTAGCTTAATAAATGTCAAGTGTTCCCATTGGTGATGTGAGTGCCTTGCTAACAACCTTGACAAGCCTACACACAGGCTTGTTTTGTGAACACAGCACTAGTACGTAGATTGGCTAAACAAGTCACTGTTCTACCAGGAGGAAGAGTACGAGAGTAACAAGCCCTATAATCTGTATTTTATGAGTAGTAACCAAGGCTTGATCACTTAACACACCTGTGTCCGGCCACTGGTTATAGAGGGCTCTGGCTGCCTGAGGCTGACCACAAGGGCTATAGAATTTTGCCCTCCATATTTGACACAGCTGTCTCAAGAGATCCTTCCATGACAGTGTGGTCAGTTCACTTAAAGAGAAAGCTGGGATTTCTAAAAGCTTATAGAGTAGGTTGTATAAACTATGCCAGGACTAGCTAATAAAGGTTAAATAAGTGATTCTGGGTGAGGCAAATTGAGTCTGAGTTCCGCTTGCATAGTATGTGAGTAGTGGATACCATTGTCTGCCAAAAAGAATCTAAGTTGTATATGACCAAATTGGTTTGGTTTAAAAAACAGCTAAGTGGGGACCAGCAGTTAGTGTAATGGCTATGTCGCTGGACTCCCACATAGTCGACCGCGGTTCAAGTCCTAGACCCGGTGGCTTAAACTCACGCCGGGCGCGTGTGCGAGTGTGCCCAAGATCCTGAGAGACTAGAGAAGGGATTGCGGCGTGGCCATCCCCCCTGGGGGGGTGATTTCTCGCTTTCTGTCTCTCTGTCTCTGTATGTCTGGCGAGTGCACACGCCCTATATAATCTGTATTTTATGAGTAGTAACCAAGGCTTGATCACTTAACACACCTGTGTCCGGCCACTGGTTATAGAGGGCTCTGGCTGCCTGAGGCTGACCACAAGGGCTATAGAATTTTGCCCTCCATATTTGACACAGCTGTCTCAAGAGATCCTTCCATGACAGTGTGGTCAGTTCACTTAAAGAGAAAGCTGGGATTTCTAAAAGCTTATAGAGTAGGTTGTATAAACTATGCCAGGACTAGCTAATAAAGGTTAAATAAGTGATTCTGGGTGAGGCAAATTGAGTCTGAGTTCCGCTTGCATAGTATGTGAGTAGTGGATACCATTGTCTGCCAAAAAGAATCTAAGTTGTATATGACCAAATTGGTTTGGTTTAAAAAACAGCTAAGTGGGGACCAGCAGTTAGTGTAATGGCTATGTCGCTGGACTCCCACATAGTCGACCGCGGTTCAAGTCCTAGACCCGGTGGCTTAAACTCACGCCGGGCGCGTGTGCGAGTGTGCCCAAGATCCTGAGAGACTAGAGAAGGGATTGCGGCGTGGCCATCCCCCCTGGGGGGGTGATTTCTCGCTTTCTGTCTCTCTGTCTCTGTATGTCTGGCGAGTGCACACGCCCTATAGCAAAAACCTCTCCAAAAAGATTTTAAAAAACCCAGCTAAATGAAGACTTGCTGTACTTTTCTCCCAAATAATATCACTCAATCATCACCTATTTATGAAAGCAAGTTTATTTGATTACTTATTCCAGACAAATAATGAGACTCATGTGTACAACTAATAAGACAATCCAAAAGAAAAGCAGGAAAAATTAATATGGACTACACAAACAGCTATCTCAAAAGGAAAAGTGGCTGCATTTATTTTACATAACACTGTGGAGTGATGTAGCACCATTGACCTCAAAGATAGCCTAAGTACTTTATAAGGTAATTACGTGGGTATTGCAAAAATGCAGCAATAGCTTAAAAATTATAGCAAGCCAGATGATAATTTTATGTTCAACTTATTTCAAATATAAAATTATATCAGAAAACTTACTTAAAAAAAAAAATAGGCCACTTGGGAAGATGTGACCTTGGACAATTCTTTTAAAAAATCCTAAGGAAAGAGTTACCATTATTGAGACTGGTTGTTTTCTTCCATCATGTGTATTTGTTACTATCATCATGACCAATTTAAATTCGAAACTTAGGATGATTTAAGGGGCAGTTGTTTATTTAAATCCACACAATTTTATTTATTCAGAAAAATTTTTTTTAACTCAGTATCTTCTACTGGTCTGCTCAGTTTGTTCTGGCCTGAACCACAAACATGAAGGAGAGAGAATTTTAATACTGTAGAACTCAAAAGATTAGGATCTTTTAATGATTTTTTTAAAAAATCATGTCTAATGATCATTCTAGGCTGTTGATCAATCTCAGGCAAAAACCTGTTGAACTTAAGCTTGACCCTATTAATGAACCTAAGTTAACTTAAAAGACATTTGTAAATCTGGTAAGTAAGCATTTTTCATTTTGATGATGTTATGACATCCATTTGAAGTATAGAAAGAACCTTAGAGAGAGATTTGGTGTTTCAGTGTCCTCTATCAGTTAAGAGCCATAGCACATTTTCAGAAAAGTACCATAGCAAAACCAAATGTAGGAAATTCAAAATATCCCAGATTATTAATTTCTGGTGGTTCTTCTCCCCTCTCCCATTTGGGTCATGAACTACTCTGAGAAACTGAGGAAAGCTATGAACTCAGAAAAATGCATACAAATAACTTATATCCAGTTACTTAAGGATTCCCTAATGGTTCATGATCCTCAAGTTAACAATTTCTATTTCAAAGCTGTGGGACATGGTGGAAAATAGCCCTTTTTTTTTTTTTTTAAATAGCCCATTTTTGACACGGTCCATCCTTCCCTAATCACTACTAAAGTACGCATTTTAATAATGTTACTAAATGACTGCCTTAAAACAAAGTTGCTCTTATTTTAAGGACCAATAGAACTTTAAAAATGAATTCTCCTGCCCCAACTGGACAAGAGTTTAAGTCACATACCTTCTATCTCAAATTGGTTTAAAGTCTCTAAGGTTGAAACTAGCAGATAATTGCTTCTCTTTGATACGTTATTTTCTCCAGAGCCAGTTGCTGAAAAATGAGATTAAAATTTAATATCCTTGTGAAAATGAATATGTGTTTCTTTATTAAAGAATAGGACAACTTACAAAATATATTTCTGAGTAGTTCCATCCTTGAAAACACACACACATACTTAGTGCCCCTGAACATAGCATACAATTTCAGACGTGCTTTCTTTTCCTTCCTTGGAACCAAAAGAACGGAGGCCTCCTACTATGGTAATGAAAAGAAATGAAAGTTCTACCTACTGAGCAGGATGGAAAACACTTAATTTCTGACCAGACTCCACCATCTCAAAAACCCACCACCTCAACCTGTTACCAACCAGGTTAAAGAGTGCCATGTTTGAGGATTCTAATGTTGCATTACTGAGCATGTCTTAATTCCATGCAGAATGAACCCTTCGTTGAAGAGAAATGACTGCACTACAGTACAGGGTTAGGCTTGTTGTTTTCTTGTTAAAGAAAAACTCTATCAGTCAACCCCTAACAATCTGTTTACCTAACAGGGTAAATGTGGACTTACAGGAATTCCTACAGAGGGAGGGGACATTAAATACAGAGATGCACACATCTCTAGTAAATAAAATTTAATCGAATTCCCTATTAAAGAATCTTTTAGTTTGGAGGCAGGTGATATTATTCTGCCCTTTATCATAATCATTCACTTTTGGTCATACAGTGCATTTGCAGAATAAATCCCAAAATATTTGGATAAAGGAAAAGGGTCTGCTAAGAAAATGGTTTTGCCAAGGCAACTGCAACTTGGCTATGAGCTTTCATTCTTGTCTTCTGCTGCTATATAAAAATAATACAATAATCATTTTTCTTTATTCTTGTAAGAAGTTTTGGCATGTTTTCCTTTATATAAATCAAAAACTAGAATGAACAATTCAGAAACTTTGGGGAACAAGAGTAGAGGAGGAGGATATTACTCTCTAACAATGGGAATTCGAGAATTTCAACTCAATGATGAATAGCTTGCAAGAGAACACAGGCTACTAAGAAACAGTAGTCTAGATGACATCCTGTGAATCCTAGTGGTGTAAAACACACAATCAGGTATTTCCCCCCTGCCATTTGAAGTACCATTTTGTGTTCCTTCTACTAAGCCTACTAAACACTAAGTGAAAACTGAAGAAGGCAACATGTA